CTGACCTGATAACAAGCAACTTGTGTTGGTTTAGTCAAAGGCTCCGGAGGCCCACAAATGTTTTCCCAAACTTAAAGAATAACAGAAACTTCTGCCTCCCCCAAAATGGAGTAACATCTTGAGACTGAATCCAACCCAGAAACTGGATTTTAACCTCTTACCTGAAACAGCGAAAACATTGGACAACATATACGAAAAGATGTTGGTCACCAAGCAACAGAGGACAAGGATTCCTGAGAAATAGAAAATCAGCAAGGAGAGTGCTATGGTTGCCCCCAGCCTATTGCCTGGAGAGGCTGTCTAGATAGGAGAGCGAACCCAGGTCAACTCCCTGAGCGAGACGTTCAAGAGGCCAAGGCAGCTGGAGGTCACAGAACAGAGTATCAGAGAGGAAAGAGCAGCAGAAAGAGAGAGATCAGGGATCTGCAGAGGGCCATCCCTCAAATCTTCAGCTGAGTGCTGATGAGCTCAACCGTGTAAGGAAAGAACCCTGAGGCTGGGGAAAGAACCACCCAAAAGGATTGAAGGGAGTACTCTTTGAAGCTCCACAGGATGAGGAATAATTCTTAGTCTCTTAAGCCGGAATAGAAAGACCTAACTCATGGCGCATTGGGTAGGTACTCAGAAGAGTTTTGCCTCAGTTGAGGGAATAATTAACCCTAGGATAAATGATGCTCTGGTCCCACCTAAAAAAGCTTAAAAGCAAGACCCAAAAGGATCAAAACATTTATAAGTAAATTAACTGCATGGCAGAACAAGCTCAAAAATACTTATAGGAATACAAAAATATCCAACACCCAACAAAGTAAAATTCACAATGTCTGGTAGCCAATAAAAAGCTCCCAGGCATGTAAAGAAGCAAAAAAAATGTGACGCATAATAAGGAGAAGAATCAATAGAAACCAATACAGAAATAACACAGATAACAGAATTAGTAGATAACACATTAAAATAGTTATTATGAATGTATTTTGTATGTTCAAGAAGCATTTTAAGAGCATGTTAAGTAGAGATATGGCAGATACACAAAAAGGCCAAATTGAACATCTAAAGGTGAAAAATATAATGTTTCAGATAAATAGATAGATAGATAGATACATACATACATACATACATAATAGGTGATGATAGATAGATAGATAGATAGATAGATAGATAGATAGATAGATAGATAGGAAGGATGGGATTAACAGCAGATTAGACACTACAAGAAAGAAAAAAAGATTAGTGAATTTGAAGACATAGCAATAGAAACCATCCAAAATGAAACACAAAGAGAAAAACGACCTACTCCCACCCTCAAAAAAAGAAAGAAAGAAAACAGAGCATCCATGAGCCTGCAGGACAACTTTCAGCAGCCTAATAGATATAGAATTGGAATCCCTAAAGGAAGTAGAGGAAAGAAAATATATTTGAAAAAAATAATGGGTGAAAATTTCTCAAATTTGATGAAAATTATAAAACCACAAATCCAAGAAGCTCAATGAACCCCAAGCAGAAGAAACATGAAGAAACCTATATCAAAGTACATCATGATCAAATTGCTTAAAATCATTGATAAAGAGAAAATCTTAAAAGCGTCCAGAAAAAAAAATCTTAAAAGTGGCCATGGGGGCCAGCCAAGTGGCTTGTTGGTTAAAAGTTGGCTTGGGAGCGTGAGCTCTGAGCAGCAGGGCCACTGGTTCAGATCCCACATGGGCCAGTGACACTGTGCCTTCTACAGCTAAGATGGTGAACAACAGCTCAACCTGGAGCTGGGCTGCCGTGAGTCGCTGGCGTGGCCGGCAGCCTGTGTGAGCTGCTGTGAGCAGCCGACCAATGGCCGGCGACCGATCTGCCTCAGCCAGGAAGAACGCAATGATCATAATACCAACATGGACCAGTGAAGCGACATCCTCCACAGCTAGACTGAAGAACAAAAGGACAGCAACTTGTCTGTTCCCCTCCCCCAATTCCCCAATAAAATCTTTTTTTTTAAAAAAAAGAAGCAATTTGAGCCAGGTGGGAATAGGGGGACACTGGGGGGAAAAAAAAAGCAGCCATGGGAACAAAGATAAGAAAGATACTAGACTTCTCATCAGAAATATGCACCAGAAGACAGTAAAGCAACATCTTTAAAGTACCGAAAGAAAAAACTGCCAACCTAGAATTCTTTACCCAGCAAAAATAGCTTTCAAAAAGTAAAGCCAAAAATATTTTTCTTAGCCTTACAAAAGCTAAGTAAATTTATCGTTCATTTGTCATTGATGAATTCATCATCAACAAGCCAGCACTACAAGAAGTGTTTAAGTCTTTCAGGCAGAAAGAAAATGATACCATATGGAAGTCTTGATCTACACAAAGGAATGAAGGCAACACCAGAAATGGTAACTACATGGGTACATATAAAAGAGTTTTTTCTTATTATTTAAATCTTTTTAAAAGAACAATATAACTAGCATAAGGAACCATTGACTAAAAAACACCCAGAGCTCCCTGCATCCAGGAATAAATTGTTATATATTGCTTTTGTCTAAATTCTGATTTATCTCAAGAAGCAAACTCCAGGGAAGCTATTAGCAAGTTAGCATTTGCAGTCATGTGGGAATTTGGGTTCTACTTATGGAAGAAAATAATATAGATATGCTTAGTATAAAATGCAGCAACCACAGCTGAGATCTGGGGCTCAGCTGGATTGCATTCAAGCTTAAATATAAGGCTTATGTAGAGCAAAGCCAATTTCTGGATTAGTATAATGTGATGATGATGTGCCCTTTTAGTGGACAGACCATACAGGAACAGAAGTCATGGCATCTAGAGATCCCAAACATTCTCCAGGGAAATTTCATGGGAAACTAGGGCATATATCTGGGTTGGTTTTACTGGAGCTGCAACTGAGAGAAGTGGCATGGACTCCTTTTGCTTCCAGGTTCATACCAATCACCTTTGGGTTCCTTTTTCTGCCCATCACTCTACTGACACTGTTCAACTCAGAGGTCACCATTGACTTCCTAATTATGAAAATCACGTGCTTCCCCTCAGTCCTCATCCACCTTGCCTTACTTTTCCTCCACTTCTCTGATAATTCCTCTATTTTATGGCTCTTCTCAAAAGAGTATGTTACTTAGTTGTGCCCTTTCATCCCCTCCTTCCTAATATTCTCCCCCTCCGAGATCTCATCCACTTTTATTGCTACTCTTACCTGTTCTGATAACTCCTAGATCTCTCTCCAACCTCAGGGCCCAGGACCACCTCTGCTTTGATACATTAACCAACAATATCCTCCCTTTCAGCACCCTCCTCTGACTGCTCACATAATCTGTAGCCCTAATTGTCTGCATCTAGACTGTGGGCAACTCTAGTGCAGTGATTGAGATATGTCTTCTTTATAGCTGCCTACTGCCCAGCGTAGTGTTTGGCACACATAAAAAAAGCCAAATCTTGCTGGGGAATTCAGATCTAAAGTCAGCAGCTAAGACATAGGTTGTGAATAGCCAAAATTACCCTCAAATAAGCCATTAGTCACCCATAAAATGCACATGGTATTGTAAATCAAAAGGGAAACAGCACATTTGCCTTCCCCATCTCGCACTCCCTCTGCGATGTACTTTCACTGAGTGGCAGAGCTGGAACAGCCTCCACCAGTTGCATTACAGGCTCTCTGTCTCTCCTTTCCACTTGTGCTTCATTTTTGACCCTGCACATTGATGGAGTTTCCATAAGTGAAAAGCATATACGGCAATAATACCATTGTAAATGTTTCCTGTTCAGGGAGTCCAACTACATCAAGCGTTGGTTTTTCTTTAAACTGGTTCTTCCTTTTGACTTCACAATTCTGATAACGACAGAGCCTCATTGAATCAGGCTGAAAACTCTTTGACTTCCCTCTCCCTCTCTTTCCAGTTTCCAAGTTCTTGTTAATCTTTCCTTTGTACAATATCCCCTTGTCCCCATGCTTATTGCCACCTATAGAATCCTGGCCCTCATCATCTCCCATCTTGACTTTTATGACAGCCTCCTAGCTGAGCTCGCTCATCTTGCTGGTCTCTCTCTGATTCAAGTTTCACAGCCATTAGATGAACATTTCCTAAAGCACTAATTTAGTCCTATCACTCCCCTATTCAAAAGCCATCAATGGCTATCAAATAGAGTCCACTCTTTCTAGCCCAGCATTCAAGACCCTGAACAATCTAGTCACAAGCTGACTCCGGTCCTACCATTCACTCTTCCCAGGCAGGAACACTGCCAATCCCCCAAACTTTCCCCACCTGTCACTTCCCTCTACCTAAAGGCCACCTCCACAAACATCTCCTATTACCAAAACCTAACTCAGCTTCAAATGGTAGCATCCAAAGTGCCCCCTGCTTCTTCTCATCACTATACCTCCTTCTTTGCCCCACTCAGCTCACACTGCTACATTATATGCATATGTACCCTAAAGAAATGTGTCATATGCTTTTCATTCATTTGCTCATTCGGCATATATTACTAAGCATTTACAAAGTGCCAGGCATTCAACTAGATGCCAAAGATATGCAGTGAAGACAGATGCCACTCACAGAACTATAGTCTGGCAGGAGAGGCTGGCAATGAAGAAGCTGTGAACCCCATAGAGACTATGAGAGAAGTGAAAGTGGGGAGCCTCGCCCGACTGGTCAAAAAGAGCTTCTCCCAATAGGTAACATGTAAGCTGACATCTGAAGAATGAGTATAAAGTAGCCAGGCAGAAGGGAGAAAAAAAGAATTTTACAGGTGGAGGAAAAAGTCAAGGGAAAAAAATCTGAAGGTAAGAGAGGACAGGGCTCATTAGAAGAAACAAAAGGGGGGAAAAATCATTGCTGGATCCTAGAACAAGGTGGGAACGGAGGAATTGGGGCTGCGGAGATGAGGAGGGCGCAGCCGAGTCACAGCCCTTCCTTGTAAGGCTTGTAAAACAAGCAAAAGAGGTTGGGTTTGATCCTGAGGGCAAGAGAGAGTTTTAAGGAAAGGAGTGTCTGGATCTTATTTGCATATNGAGACCATGAAGAGTGAGGCTTAGTGAAGGTAAATCCTGGTAAATGACGATGAGCATGTCTCTTGGCTGGAAAACAGGAATCTGGGATGTTTACAATGGTGAGCACTGGAAATTCGTCTGAGAAAGCAGATGAGAAGAAAACATGTAACATGCCAAAAGGGAGTCAAACAGAAACAGTTCAAAGATCTTGTAAGGAAGGAGACAGGGGCTGGTTAATTCACCGTTAGCATCCAGAGGAGCTTTACAGGGTGAGCCCAGGATTCGAGGGTGGCCCCTCTCAATTCGGCGGATAGTTGCCCAGCATTGTGGATGCTGACAAACAGCCAAGTTACAGGTGGTTTCATCCCACTGGCTCTTATCTGGCAAGTCCATAGTTACAAATGGGTTAGGACAAAAGCCAACCTTGCAGCTTTCTAGCCCTCTGGAGAGACAATAACCACATAATTAGGGAGTATTACATACTATATACTATACTATATAGTATTATATACTAGCCATGCAGTCCAGATTTTAATTTGGACTCAAAGCATAAAATATTTCTATTGAGCCCATATAGGTAAATGGTGGTCACAGGATAATTAAGAATTGGGTAACAAGCAAGTATGAAAAAAATCTCAGCGTCAAGTACAGTGGCTAGAGCTTGGGAACAGACTGACTTCAGAAGGTCTCCTAATTCACCATTTAAAAGATTGGTTAATCTGAGCTACAGTTTCCTCATCTGCAAAATGAGGATAAGCCTATTTCACAGGGTAATTACAGAAATTAGTTAATGGATATTAAAAGGTCTGGCATATAGTTCAGATAAATATCAGCAACCTTTCCTTTTTCCCTTCATTAATTAGGGAGAAGATACCACCATCTCCAAAAAGCCTTATCAAATTACAACTAATGTAGTCACGGAAGTGCTTTTACATGGCTCAGGGGGCCGGCTGAGTGGCTCAGTTGGTTAAGAGCTCGCTCAAGAGTTTGAGCTCTGAGCAACAGCGGCTTGATGCCTGGCCTGAGCTGAGCAGCCGCTGAGCTGCCAACAGGTGGCAGGATGGCTCAGCTAAAAAAAAAAAAAAAAAAAAAAAAAAANCAACCAAATCGCTCAATTTTTTTTTTAGAATGAAGCTAAAACTGTCAGCTGTCAAATGACATAATAATAACATAGATGAGAATGACTCTAGTACTTTCAAAAATGAACTAGTGCCATCTGTCGTAAACATGTGTCATGACTTTTCCAAAGACCCAATACACTCTGGAAGCAGTGGGGAGTTCTAAAAAACACTGGGCCCTGGGTCCTAAAACCAGAAATTCTGATTTAATAGGTCTGGAGTGCACTCTGGTAATTAGGGTTTTAAAAACTCCTCAGTTGATTTCAATGTGCAATCAAGGTGGAGCACCACTGACAATGCAAAAATCATCTCTTCCATAATGCATTTCTCAACTGAGAGAGGACAGGCCACTGCTGTAAGAACATGATTCAAAGGGGGCACCCCAGTCACCCAAGCAAAACTGCTCCTATTGGAGGCATCAGGAAGAGGAGTGGAATATTGATCACCCTGGGTGGGGAGATAACCTGGGACAAGTCACCTCCCATCCTGGGCCCCAGCCCTGGTTCTGTCTACCTCCCATGTGAAGGTCAGGAGCCTTCTTAGATCTTGGAGTTAGAGGACACTGTTGGTATCAGAGACCACAACGAGATGGGAGATAAACCAAGAGAGCAGCATCCTTCCCAGGAAACACCTCACCTGAGCCCTCCCACTGCCCCCCAGGGTTAAAGAGTGAATTCTTATATTAAACAGTTATTTTCACATTACAGTCAGCAGTGTCCAGTCTGAGTAGGGCAGAAGAATCTTCTAAGGGTTAGGGGGAATTTTTTCTCCCATCTTCCCTCCCATTCTGCACTCAAGCTGAGAAACATCAGAGGGACCGGAGAAAGTATATCCTTTAGCTCAGATGTGATAAGGACTCCAAAAAGGCATGAACACTAAAGGAAAAGGATCACCTGTCAAGTATCGGCTACCTGCCTCCTAGACGGGGCTAGATAATGTGGTGATCACAAACTGAGGCTGCAGAGACTAACTTGTGGCAGAGGAAGTGGAGGGCCCTTAGATCTCTCTTGGGG